TCAGTCTAAGAAATATATATATATTGTATGTATGTATATACAATATATATAATACAATATAATAGATATATATAACGCATATTCAGCTGTGTTCAGTTGTGTTGTGTAACAGCCAACAAAATTAAATAAAAATTCTTCATAACATAGGAAGAGCAAAATAATGACGTTTCTCAGTTTTGGCCATCTATCCTGTTCCTCCGGACGAGTTACCTAATGCTCAACACTTTATTTAAGCAAGATATGGCGCTTTTTGTACTTTCCATATCATTGTATTGTGTAACGTACTGTACATTGTACATGTTTTGTGCATCTAGTTTTTGCGCATAACGCATCTAATCCAATCGGCTTTCCCTTGTAATTATTTTCTAACTTATAATCATATAATAAACGACTGTTTTTCAAATTAGGTAGTTAACTTTCAATTTGATTAAAGAACTCGCTTTGCTAAGTTACTATATTTAAGTCTTCTGCGAAGAGTGCGATCTGGAATGATAAATTCTTGGTATCTTGAAAATAATTTAAACCATTAACTCGTGTTCGGCACTCTTTTTCTATTAGTACCAGTTCTTATTCTTTCGTATTCACTAGACAAGTAAAATTTAAAAATTGAATAAGGCTCATAATAAAATATTTTAGAAAAAATATTCAATAGGCATCTTTCCGATATGGTTGGAAAGAGAACCCAAACCATATTTGAAGATACCTGCTTTTATAGTTTGTTTTGCTAGGTATGGCAACGTATCGCTTGGGCGATTACTTCCATGTGGTCAGTTAAGGATAACTGCTCGCTATTTAGGCGTTCAAGAGTAGGAGAAAATCCTAAAAACTGCACGTGGACAGTTTGTCTTTGCGAGGCGCGAAACCACGATCCAACCACTACTAGTTTAGGGAACGAAACCTCTTGGCCACTGGCGAGCCGTCTATTCTTTTATTTTAAACTAAAGTTAATAGGAGGATGTCTGACTATCACATAAGTCTACTTTCACAAGAAACATCACATAAAATTAATCGAATTTCAGAACCTTTTGCGAAAATACGCGTGAAGGTGGGACCTTCTAGTCGTTGGGTTGATAAAACCCACTAACTGTCATTGGATGGCTGAGTCATTGGACTAACTGAGTCATTAGATGGCGTAATAGGAGAATTTTAAAATATCGAGTGCAGAGCCCGGTAGGAAAGTCGATAGTGGTCCGTTCTGGAGAAAGTCAGGTCGCCAGATTAACTAATATAAGAACAGTTAATAAAACAACAAAGCAAATACATACGCTAACTGCGTTTACAATTATAGGAGTAGTACAAGCGTGCATCTAAGAATCGAGGTCTACCGACTATCCTAAATCTTGGCACCGAGAGAGTTTACAACGAAGTAGTTAATTATCCTACATCTATCGTATCTGGAGAGAGAGAGAAGATCTGTCAAGGCTCAGATTGATATCTGCACGAAAAATTACATTAAAAGGAGGATCCTTTGGAGAACTATGTGGCAGGATGACACCTTATATGCGTTTTTCACGAGTATGTTCAACCTGTGTGGCGCTTGATGTTCATGTGGTATGGCGCTAGATTAATTCCACCGATGTCCACCGACTATGGCGATTACAGCTTATTTCCGAAGTCGTTTGATCTGGAGCAGTCGCTTCCCAGAGACGACCGCCACGATGTGCGGGTGCTTCGTCCTTATATTCGTCTTTGGCCTAGGAAAACCCATCAGGTGATCGAATGTTGTTGGAGACGAAGATTGATTTTGTAAGTGTTGGGTCAGAGGTGATCCGTCGATGACGTTAAGATGTCGTTATAGGAGGTGCTATTAGCATATTAGGCTGGAGACTTCCTTCTATTTACTTTCTCCAAGGTTGACTTTCCACTTCTTTAACAATAGGTTGTTTAATTTAACATTCGATTGTTATAATTCTCGAACAGTTGTTGATAGTAATTCAATCCATTTTCTGTGCGATGTTTTCTTAACGATCGCGATGGTGATATAAGCTTATAAATTATTTAAATTAGCGGAAAATAGGGCTTACAATTCTCACACTTTCGTAGAGTATAAACGTAAATGACGCAAAAACATTTATAAAGCGATGATAAACAAAAAGTTGTTTTTGACAAGAACATCAGAAAAACAACTCTCCAAAACTAATGAAAATTAGAATGTTAAGCAGAGTCCTTATTAAAGTGAATAGTAACTTGTTTTACTGAATGTTATTTCAATAAAAATCTCTATTCTTCTCACCCGGCTGTGCCCTTTATACATATATTTAGAAATCTTGCATATTTATAAACAATTGTTTTACGATATTTTTCCTCGAAATGAAACTAATGGGGAAAAATTAAGATATTTTATAAGGCAGGAAAAAAGATAAGCGTGACAATAATTTTAATAATCTTAATTTAAAAAAATCGAAGCAATATTTTATTTGATTGCTCATATAAAATCTTTGCACTAATACGTAATCAATTTTTATTTTTTTATGTATTAATCAGTCTAAGAAAATACACATAGTATAGAGTACAACAATACCAACCTTGTCGAAGAAAGTTTCTCAATAATATCCAAAATAAGGTACAAAATTCAGGCTTTTCCTTGTTGCAATACTCAGTTTCTTTCATACTTACAATATACAACGTCGACAGAAGAATAACGAATGAACATAAAATAAATATCCAAACCTGAAATGTAACATTTAATAATTATTTTGTATTTTTCAAAGTTTCACAATCTTTATAATACAGTCAAACCTTCAATAACGGACACCTTAAACATATCAGTCATCTATATAGAAGCGTTCTTCTGTATATAAAATACAGAAGGAAGTTATTGTTGTTTGGAAGTTCCTTTCGTTTGGCGGTTATATAAAATAACCGCCAAACGAAAGGAACTTCCGAACAACAATAAGTTTCTATTTTCGCCTAAGTGGTCGTTCTCGAGAGATTTTACAGTTTAATATTTTATAAAGTTTTGTAATTATTCAATTCATTTCCAGGAGTTATGTATACATAACAACCAGGAAAGTATTAATTAATTTTAGATAATACATAGATATGATAATGAATTTTTGAATATTACCATTTTGTTAAAGGGTTTTATCAAAGAAACTGCTTTGCTTAAAGGTTTTGCAGCACTTATTGTAAATGTAGTTGAAGTGTCAATTATAAAAGAAGAATAGGACATATAACTTTTTCTTATAGGGCCACCGATGATGGCGATGTCTGACTGTTGAATAAATTAAATTTATTATATATTTTTTAATTAATTAAAGAAGTATAATTGCTGAATCAATTACCTGTTCCAAAAAAGGTGTCTGTATAAACCTAAAACAAAAGAAGTAAATTGTATTTAACATATCTAGTATGATTTAGTAACACCGCAAAAAAAAACATACGTAATATAAAGAAAATCGTGTAGTAGCTTTACGTATTCTTTAACAAATGTCTTCTCTCTGACATAGTTGTCCTGATAAATAAATTGTGATTATTATATAATTCGAAATAAATTTTTTGTACATTTATGTTTTCAGTTTGGTTATTTTAGCTTACCGTTGTCATGTTTATCGTGACACTGGAATGTACGAAATTTCGTTGATTAAGTAGACACTAATTGAAAATGTGATATCTTAAATTTTTTAAAATATATTTTCTATCTAATGTTAGCAGTAACGAACTATTCCATTCACACTGAAATATGAAACGGTGATTTGCGAAGAAATCAAATTTTGCGAAAATAAACCAAATATTCAAACTTGGCACCCTGGAAAACCACTTAAGTAATATTTTGTGCAGGCTGGTAACCTAATAAATTGTAATTTTTTCATTGGAATGCCACCATACCGGTTGGTCCGATAGGAAGAAAAAACTGTACTGAATGGATATTGAAGTTAATTCGACCAACTGTAGTAGTTGTTAACGAATAATACTTAATACTGGTCTACTATTGGTATTTGAAAAGTGTACCTTGTTGGATAGGTTTCGCGTGTGATCGAAGTTGCTAAGTTTAACCTCCGAAAGTCTTCATATAATATTTGTTTAACTGATAAAATCTTGTAAAATGCGAAAGTTGTAGCATTATAACACTGGAAGCAGATTTAACAGTAAGAATCAACGCGTAAATAAAGTGCATATTACAGAGAATACAACTTCAAGAAATTTTGAATGAATCAATGTTTCCATTAACATATAACATGTCGAAATCTATTCAATTATAGAATAAATGAGTTTGGCGATATCCTTGTTGTTTGCACACACAAACACATACAAGAATTCCCAGCTTATGGTGGAATTCCTATCTCTGAATCACTGGTTTCTCAGAAACTCTGATATATGGATCTTTACCCGCTTTAATTGAATTTTCTTTTGATCTCGGGTTTCGACCATAACTCTGATTACTTTAGCCGAAAATCAAAATCATATTTTAAATTAAGTTTTCTAGTATTATTATTTATCCAATGTCTTGTGCACAGACTGTTAATCGAATGATTTTCAAACAATTAACGCAATAGAAAAGGTATTGGCAATACGCGATATCTTTCCTTTTACATGACTTTAACTCAATTTTATCTTCATATCTTACAGATATGATTTATCTTCATTTCTTACAGATGAAAAGTACAAAGTATTTTATTTTGTTTGGAAATTAGCAGATACAGAGAATACAGATGAACACAGTCTGATTGAATAAAATTTAGGCAATGAATAATAGGGAATTGTAAATCTTTGACGACATACAAAATTTCACAATACCGGTAAATAAATCTACATTTAAACTAATTTAAGTTTTACTATAATCGCAAACACTATTGAAATTTTCAATTTTGTCAGGGCTGTTAAAGTTATGAAAAGCTATGGAATGCATACACATCTTTTTCAACGTTAAAAGATAGAACAGCAGCAAAAAACAAGAAAACAATTAAGTCCAAATAGCGAAAGTTATGCAAGAGTCATTCTACTGCTCGTAATTCGAAATCTAATTTGAAAAAGCGCCCCAGGAATTCTTTATCAGCGACTTGTCCGGAATATTTTGGACCTGCCACTCAGTACTAATCCGCCCTCATTGTGAGCTGACAACCCCGAGACAGGCAAAGAATGAATGGTTTCTTCAGTACCTGCAGACCAAGAAGAGAGCCGAACATTAAAGAGAATGAAATAAAATAAGAAAATGAATTTAAATTTAAATTGTCTCTAAAAGCCAAAAACAGACAGAACGTACGAGTAGAAAAGAGCTAAAAATTTCGGGTGGCAGGTGAGTAGATAACAAAGCCGAAATTTGATTTCATGTAGAAGTATTAAAGTGTCAGATAAGTCATTGAGTTTGTGTAATAGGTTTTAAATGTGACAACTTAAATAAAATATAAACGTAAAATTACGTAAGACATAACATCGAATTACGAACATAAAAACAAATGTACTTTATACTTGAAATTATTATAAGATTACACGGAAATAATTCTAAATTCTTTAAAAAACAAAATGAAGGATTGTGTAGTCTTACTCATACTTACTACGTCTACACCAAATGTCATCTGCTGTGGTTTTAACCTTTCGTATTCAGTTATTTCTCTTCTATTGTAAACTTTACAAGAAGTAAGTTCATAATTGCTGCACTGAAACATTCAATAATTATGACAATGTAAATATATAAGTAAAAATTACGTTAATTATAATAACTACTGTATTATTTGCATTCAAATGCGTTAATAATATATTAATTTATATTAAAGCAAGTTTGGCAGATTCGTTATCAAATCTGGAAAATTGAAAAACTCCCGGATAATTTGTTAGTAGGTTTGTCCTCGATTTGTAAAGCCCTCACTCATCTTCCTTTATTGATTCGTTGTCAAACACATGACAAGGCTTGGAAAAGGGCGCTTTTAATGCTCATTAGATAACAATAAGTTTTCAAAACACATATACGCTTAATATTACAGGAATCGAATCAGAAATATAACCAGAAGACAATATTCAAAATGGCTTGGCTTACCGGTGTAAAAGAAAACAATACGAACTGCAAAGCATAATCATTATTTTTTGTTAAAGAAATACGTTCCCGATAAAATTTTAAAGATACAATTCTTAGCATTTAGTATCTGACACTTTTAAAAAGAGTCAGTCATTTTGTAGAAATCAAATTGATTTATGTCTAAAGTAGTAACATAAACTGATGATAAAGTTCGTACATGAAATAAACTGTAACTATATTCTCTAATAAGACCAGTTTAGAAAATAAAATGTTTCTGGTTTACACGGTACCATATATACACAGAAATATAGTTAATTTACAGATAGTAGAAGAAACAGGGGATAAAACTAAAAAGATAGCCAAGTAAACACACCAAAATCTAAAACTGCATGAGACTACAGTTGATGGGCCAGAAAGAAAGCGAAATGAAAAAAAGCATTTTTTCTATTTGGAAGTGAAAGAAATACGTTAAGATAATAGTTCGTAAAGTACAATAAAAGCATTGTCGTGTTTCAGTAATTATAGAAAAATCACACTAATCATCAAGTAGTTTTGAAATAAATACAAATATATCTTGGAGAGATTAAACTTCAGGTAGGCCCGGCATTGCTCGGGCAAAAGTAAAGATAGGAAAGATTAACATTATTACGTTATACCCGTTACCCGTAACCAACCTTACCCTTTTTCACAGAATGCAAGAATTGTGTCCCCCTGTTTCCAGACTGATTAGAGAATTTTTAGATGGGTCTAAAAATATGTTCGATTTCCCGCAAAAACGAAAAATCTGCATCTGCGTTTTGCACGTCGCTTTCTCTTAACAATTCCATTGTTATGTAACACTTCAATTGTTGACACTTCCATTGTTACTTAAAACATCTATTGTTACTTAACACTTCCATTGTTGATGGAACTGTTAAGCCTTAATCCTGTCTCTCTCCCTCGTGGGGAAGAATTTCGAAAAATCCCTTCTTATTTTGCGTTCTCGTAAGGTACCCTAACTGTGTACCAAATTTCAACTTTCAACTCCTAACCATTTGGGCTCTGCGCTTATTATTATTATCATTATCAATCCGTCTCGATTATATATATAGAATTGTAAATATAAAATTTTATTTATTGAAACGATTTTATACTATAAAAAGAGTTGAGTCAGTTACTATATGAACGACTGTACGAGTACACAGCAGTCTGCGGAGAAGTAAAGGTATATTAAAATACATGACACGAAAAAACACTTACATAAATTGAGAAATACTAACATCATACCATGATACATCGAAGAGGAATTACTAGTGGACAAGTGTAAAAAAGAGTACTTGTGTCCCAGTGGATGGAACCAATAAACACTAATAGGCGGTCATGGGTTATACCTCATTGATAGACTAGTTGAACAGAAATTTTTAGGTTTTCTTCTAACATCTCCCACATTAGGGCAAGTTTTCCATGGAATCTCCTCACGGGAATCTTTCCTTCTTGACAGATTACCCATGTGTTGTGTTTCTTTAATTCACTTAACCTTACAATCTGATACAGGTTAGCCACGATAACGTTCTGGAGACCGAGAATCGAATACGGTCGACCCCCCTATAAGATAGAGATACGTTCCATTCTCTAGGAATCCGCTTTCTTACGAATCCTTCCAATCACAACCCGACACGTATCAAGTTTACGGACTACGGCTGTTTGAAAGATTTTCTTCCATAAAATTAATCGATTCTAGACTAATCCGACTCAACATTTCCAAAATACGTATATATTTTTTGGGAATAATCCGTATAAACTACGCTATAAACAAAAAATTGTAGGATTACTTACCGAGTGTCACCATTCGACATTGCCATTGCTCAACATTGTTTTCGTCGCGGAACAGCTCAGCAAAGAGCGGCCGATTTCTAACAACTTATTTTTCTGTGAAAACTTCGTAGAACTTCGGAGACATCATTAATATAAATAATTTTAATCGCCGTTGAATAAGAAATGTTTCTTTCACAAGAAATGTATAAAATTACAGTACTGTATTAGACTTACGGTACCTAATTTACATACTGACAGACGATAGTTAGCGTAAAAATCTCCGTAGCGTGGCGCCACGCTAGACGGTGGAAATTATATATTTAATTATAACAAAGTTACAATAAGTTAATATATAATTATATATACAGTACCTAATTTATATATAAGTAATATATAATTATATGTACAGTACCTAACTTATATATAATTTATATAATACTGTCCAGACGATAGAAATCTCTCCGTAGCGTGGCGCTACGGACGGCGGGAAAGTAGTTCGGCTTCCCGATGACGTTTGAGGTGTTTATAGGGAACTTTTACTATTTTTTACGGATACCGGTAGCAATTTTTTCGTAGTTTTATAGGAATCGTAACTATAGGGACCGTAATTATAGGGGGGTCGACTGTACACAAGAACTATCACAGGATATTTTAATGGGTCTCCGATAAATCCAATCTCACCCTATTCGCACAATAGGTCAGGGTATTTTCACAAATATAGTTAAATCTCATAGTGCTTGGTTTAGTTTTATAATCGACAACAGCTTAATACATCTGCGATTTGTCAAAAGAGCTATCTTGAAGCAAGACTTTCTACAAGGTCTTTACTTAGGTGTTGTGTGTGTGAAAAGAACCTCGTAAAAACTATGTGGCTAGGGAGAACTGAGGTGAGTGAGTACCCATGACCAGTGTTAAGCGGTAATTAGTTAGTAAACCTCAAATGATTAACAAAGTAAAATAATAATAGTTGAACAACCCATGTTTAAAATAGGGGAGATCGGGGCAACTTCGGCATGCGGGGCAAGTTTGTCAAGCGCTTTTTTTAAAAAACAAATTAAAAGGAGACTTTGGTTATAGGTTAGGCAGTTGAGTTTTATTGGTGGCTTGTTGAGTGTAGTGTTTTTATTGTTCTCCAANAAATACGTTAAAAATATATCAATTTATATTAAAGCAAGTTTAACAGATTCGTTATCAAATCTATAAAATTGAAAAACTCCTGGATAATTTCTGGGTAGGTTTGTCTTCGATATGTAAGGCCCCGCCTCATCACTCATCTTCCTCTGTCGATGCATTGTCAAATACATGACATGGCCTGGAAAAAGGCGTTTTTTCAAGCATTGTCGTGTTTCAGTGATTATATAAAAATTACACTAATCATCAAGTAGTTTTGAAATAAATACAAATATATCGTGGAGAGATTAAACTTATTAAAAATTTGTAAATATAAAATTTTATTTATTGAAACGATTTTATACTATAAAAAGTGTTGAGTCAGTTACTATATGAACAACTGTACGAGTGCACAGAAGTCTACGAAGAAGTAAAGGTATATTAAAATATATGACATGTAGAAACACTTATATAAATCGAGGAATACTAACATCTTACCATGATACATCGAATAAGACTTACTAGTGGACAAGTGTAAAAAAGAGTACTTGTGCCCCAGTGGAAGGAACCAATAAACACTAGTAGGCGGTCATGGGTTATACCTCATTGATAGACTAGTTGAACGGAGATTTTCAGGTTTTCTTCAAACATCTTCCACATTAGGGCAAGTTTTCCATGGAAACTCCTCACGGAAATCTTTCCTTCTTAACAGATTACCATGTGTTGCTTTTCTTTAATCCAATTAATCTTATAATCTAATACAGGTTAGCCACGATAACGTTCTGGAAGCCGAAAATCGAATACACAGGAACCATCACAGGATATTTTAATTGGTCTCCGATAAATCCAATCTCACCCTATTCACACAATAGGTCAGGGTATTTTCACAAATATATTTAAATCTCATAGTGCTTGATTTAGTTTTATAATCGACAACAGCTTTATACATCTGCGATTTGTCAAAAGGGCTATCTTGAAGCAGGACTTTCTACAAGAAACAGGTGTTGTGTGTGTGAAAAGAACATCATAAACACTATGTGGCTAGAAGGAACTGAAGTGAGTGAATACCCATGACCAGTGTTAAGTGGCGATTAGTTAGTAAACCTCAACTAATTGGCACATTAAAATAATAATAGTTGAACAACCCATGTTTAAAATATTTAAAATTCGATTAATATTTTAACTATCTAAAATTATGAAAATTATACAGATGATATTAAGTATAAATGTTTTAAACAGTTAGGAAAATTAATAATAATAACGTAAAAGCCATGTGTAAAATTGTTTACTTACAATCTTAACAGCGTTTTTTTCTACTTCTATAAAAGAAGAGTTTTCGACAACTTCAGTAAATGCAAAATGACGATCCCCAGAATCATAGAACAAACTCACTTCATTTGGATAAATAATACGTTCTTTCACCACATGCACAATATATTCTTTCTGAATGAATTCCCTTGGAATTGTTTCTGAAAATTACACATATATTTATTTTATAAGTATTTTCCATTAAGGGATTTTTACGATTTATCGTTTCCAAAAACATTTAATACTGAGTGTGGTTTCATCTGTTATGATAGTTTATTAACAACACTTTTTATATCTTTAATTATTATAGAATAGAAAAAGGCTTGGTTTTGAGGAAGGAATGGTTTTTATAATAAATTGCAAATGCCATTAATTAATAAGTAAAATTGTCAGTAAGTCGCACAGTACTGGAGATATGCATATGACTCCCTTATATCTTCTCATCGCGTTTCCCTTTAACAACCTAAATTTAATAGCATAAATACCTTAAACCCACAACCCTCCCTGCAGAATTTCAGAAATTTGTTACAAAAAACATAGAAGGTAATAAGTCTGTAAAAAAGTGAAGAAACTCGTGTTATAACATGTAGTATGCTATACTACTTGTGTAACATGCAAACTTGAAGAATGTGTACACAGTATACGTTTTTACTAGTACGGCCCATCAAAGGTATCTTGTATAAATAAGAATATAGTTATCAAACGGATAATACGCCGTATTACTGTCAATCCACGTGCATCATGAATCGACAGATATATATACCTTAAGATATAAACTGATATACTGATAGAGAATATACTGATTTTGGTGTATTCACACTTGTCTGATTGATCTGTGATCAATCATCAACTCTAGGCATACAACTCCAACAATATGTTATGAGTGGTGTATTCACAATATTGTGAGAACTTTACAATTTGACGGACTTTAACAAAAATCTTTCTTCGATTTCATCGTAGTTTGACAACCAACGTTGTTGATTATCCTTTACTACATAAGAACTTTTGAGTTTGCCGTTCTTGGTGGCCTCTCCCGTGATCCTTTTACGTCCCGGCTGTGCACTACCGTTTTAATATTAGAACTGACAACCAAATAGGGCAGTCGACACCCGTTCCTCCGATTCTTATAGTCGTCACCATGTCCTATAAAAGATGTCGTCTCCCATTCCTCCCTGACTCAAGTCGTCGCCCATTTCTCAATCAATATAGAACTCTATGCCTCCGTGCCAACCTTCTCGTTTATTTAACCGCTTAAGGGCAGACCGAACCCTCTCCTGCATCGGGTCTACCCTTCAAACTACAGATATTTATTTTCACGCGAATCTCATATGAACTCTTTTTCTCGCAACTACTTACGATAAAGGTCAGTTAACTCCTTACGCCTCGGGCAATTCTTGATAATAATGTAATTAAACATAAAAAAATACTTAAAACTGAAAAAACGAAAGAAATTCGTTAATTTTGAAGAAAAAGCTTCATATTTTATTTTCCTTTGT